GTGGTGGCTTTCATACGGAGAAACTGCCGCTCGCGTCACATTGAGATCACATGGTGTTGTTATATGAGCAAGAAATCTGTCGGTGTTCTCAAGCCTTTGATACCTAATCAATGCTGAAGAGATGGTGAAACGAACTAGGTTGTGGTGGATAACAGGGGTGCAAGCTCCTATTCATTTAGGGGCTCCAGAAATATAAATAGTGGGTCAAAGCCGGAGCGCGACATCTTTGAGGATGGGTAGGTTGGGCATTTGCCGCTGCTCCCCGGAGTGATGTGAAACCAGGCTCTTGCTGGGGACACCCACTGCGCAGTTTAAAAAAGCCACAAGGCTGTAGTTTGATCAAACTGACCACAGATCATTAGTCATCGAAGACATGTCGATAAACCGCTGGCTTGCTAGGGTCCTTACATTCATGACCTTGTATGGGATCATGGCCGAGAGCTCGGTGCCGACCAGTCGGGGAATGCGCAACATGTCGCAGCCGTACCGTTAAGGATTTTCGGCTCGTGCAGTGCACGCGTAGGCCTTCGAGAACACCCGCATGCTCTGAGCACTTAAAAGGTTCTGCATTCTGGCGGTTCAGCGCTGGGGCCCGTTACGCGGCGAGGCACGCGGGAAGCACCCATTTTATCACCGCATGATGCCGCGCCTCGCCGAGTTATGTTGGGTGGCTCCTTCACAAACTCGTTCGCGGTTTGCACATCCGCTGTTGAGCCCAATGCCCCGGAATTCATTAATGATTAGCCTCTAGACATCGTTCTATTAGAGCACGTTTGTGGTGGCGTCTGTATGGGATTCCGGAGGCCGAACGCAGTACTTTGAGTGAAAGCACGTTGTATGTAAATGGAGCCTAGAAAGAGAAAGAAAAATAACCGTAGAACTACGGAGGTCGACCTGTCAAGTGCTTTCATGGCTCCGTGCACATACGCGTTATGTGTAGTTAAATGCTGCATCGGATGTTTATCACCCCGATGTATCGAGCTCCATAAGCACATTTCCCTCTCGTTTGATATCCGGCATCTTCCCTTCACACGCCAGCCCTTTTCACAGCTCGTCAGCTGTCACAAGCCCTCTGCAGCACCGAAACAGCGCTGATTTTCTTGAAAAATTACGTAACCATGGCAACTGAACTAACATTTGTATCATCCGCGTTGAACACCACAAATATTTCTCCTGCATGGGGAGGCTTCATCCACTCAACTTGGGCTTCAGCCCCCCCCCCCCTCTCCCACACACACAAATATATTTTGAGAAGAAATTTGGCCAAATCCGATATTGAGCCCGTTTGTTGGTTATTTTGAGGTAGGTTTCTTAATTGTTTACTGTTCAGTCCCCTACCCACCTCATTTGTTTTCAAAACTAACGCCTCTGTATTGCAGCATGACCTGCAACGCAACTTCCGAACCCGCCGATGGCGCTTTTTCGAATGGCATCACTTGGCACATTTAGGGTCGCGTCGCCTTTGTGGCTGTGTGCACAGAACCTCTTTATCCATCTAACAATGTAGGTCCACCAAAAACCACTGCATCGGCTCGGATCGCCTGACACAGTGATTTATCCGTAGGTCCATTATCCACATCAGCACGTGCCGCCCGACATCAGAAAAAGGTGGCTCCATTCTGATCGCACCATCCATCATCGCTTCAAACGGCCGACTGCGCGATGTAACATGAGCTGGCACGCGTGGAATCTGTGTCGATGCGCCCCGGAATTCCAAAAATGCGCCACCGCATTAATACACGACATAGGCGTTAATGAATCGGCTGGGTGGGAGCATGGCGGTGGGGTGGGGGCTTAGAGCCGGCCAGGGGTCTCGCTGAGATTGCGCCAGAGGAGGGAGGCTTGCGAGGCGCTGCAGTGAGGCCGAAGAGGCAAGGGCTTAATGTAGAAAGACGACTCTGCGAGAGCTAGCAAGGCATGTGCAAACAGGAAAATTTCCTCGGAGTGCACCGGTCTTGGCAGGAAAGTGAGGTTTACTGAGGCAGAAAATGCTAAATGCAAGGCAAATGAGGTTACCGGAGGCACGCTCCGTGTCAGGACACCAAGGGATCGGAAAAGGTAGGGCAGAAAAATGAAAGGGTTAGACACCATGTCGGGGTGAGAATAACTTGTGACACATCGTATGTCAACAGATACCGATAGTAATAAACAACGGCGTTGAAGTTAGAGTTCTTCACGGATTTGTACAAATCCGTGTATTTGGGTTTGATTCAAATTGATGATGGCTTTAGGATTGCAATATTAGTTTCTGCGGTCATACATATGCCCATTATGCCACAGCAGATGCTGTATGTTAGACGAAGCTGACCTCTGTAAAGTATACGTATTTACAGAGCATGGGAAGCAAGCTCTAAAAGCAGACATCATTCCATTGCATGCTTCATACCATACTACTGAAACTTGGGCAAATTTGAACGGTGACGTGTTTTCTTTTTATACTGTAAACGCACGATGCGGTAAAAAAAGATGGCGTTGACAATTAATCATAACTCATAGTCATAGAAATAACGAATATTGATACCAAAGTCAAAGATAATCGAAAGGGCCCTCGCCGCCCGCATTAAGTGCAGTACAATGCGCGGAAGTAATGACTGCAAAAATAAAACATTATTTCCTTTTTACCTCGTTCAAGTGTTTCGCAAGAAGATTTCCCGCATGCCTGATCGCTTTGGAACTTTCTTGTAGTTTACTCTTCCAAAAAAGGTTAGGATGTATATAGCGATCGAAAGTGCACAGTTAACATGCCTGGCAGCATGTCCGGTGCCTACCCCAGGATCTGTATAATTTGGGTGACTTCACTCGTACGTGACGCTTTTATGATGCCGGCCTGCAGGATAAAACTAGTCGAGATAACCACCAAAACAGGTTCAGCTTAGCTTGTGTGGTCGTGCACTCACAAAAAGAGACGGCTACATTCGACAGATACGTAATCGATTACACGCCTGTCTTTAGACTGCCTGACTTCACGCTGTTAGACTTTCCATGAAACTTGTGCTTATTGGATCCATGCATTGTGCAGTGCTTCAGGTCATAGAACAACCATCCAGCACTAAGCATGTCTGTGCACGTCTCTCGATCTCGATCTCTTGATCTCGATTTCTCGACCTCGATCTCTCGATCTCTTGATCAAACTGACAGCGGCGGTCGGGTGACTGTCCGTTCGCGTAACAGGCAGCGCGCTGGTTATGAACGGAGATCTCAGTGGCTGCTTGATCCTGAATCTTCATTTTGGTTCGTCTTATACCGCGATGCCGCGTTTGAATGCGGCCAAGAGATGATCGCTAGATTTGCTATGCCTGACGTCAGCGATTTCGTCAGTTGCGGGGTTAAAAAGCTTTGAGGTTTCATTCATCAAGATATTGCTGTGAAGTTTTTGAACTTTTAAAATAAACCCTATGGAAAGATGTCCTCTTCAGCAAATATAATTTTACTTTTCTATCCCCGAGCGTGTCGAGATGTGACGGTCAGTGATCAGATAAACCTGTCATATAAAACTTAACGTTCTCAGTACCTCTTAGAGTTGATAAACCGCATACCTTAGGGTTTTCTCAATCGATTTAAGGCACAGGGAGCAGTCGATGACCAAAACATTGGAGGAGGAGATAGAGTTTCGGGGCGTTTGATCGTTTTTCATGCACTTTCTTAGCATACATAAACGCAATATGGCAGGATTCCCCGAGCCCACCTTTTTGACCTGTTGCATGTATCACGACAGGCAAGTGACTCCCTTGAACTGTGCGTGACCAAATACGCCTTGCGTGGCTTGATGTCGCATTCTCACAGATGCTCTCCTCTGCCCCTCCACCCACCCACATCCACCCACGCTTATCGCAGCGCACGCGCTCGTCTTAGAAGTCTATGGCAACAGGTCTGTTTCTAAAAACATGTGCCTCCCATTAATTCAGCCCAAATCGTGCAGATGAGACGTGCCATGTTAAACCAGACATATGCCCACTCACGCCTAGCTCTCGGTGTCGTGATGGCCATAACTCGTTCCTCACTGGCATCAGATGTTCCGATGCTCCCACGAGTGGATCCAGGAAAATATGATGTAACTGATCAGATTCGTAACACTTTGGACCCATGCCGAGATTCCGAGAAGCCGCTGCTGCCGGCACCTTGGTAATAGGAGCCAAATCGTATGTGCATGCGCGCGATGCCGACGGGCTCGGTCATCACGCGAAACAAATTATATGAGGTGCAGTGCAATAGCGTCCCTTTCCTGTCACAGCTTATGTAATGGTCAAAGATGCGCCGACAGCGCAGGGGTGCTGAGGATGCTCCCGTCCTGAGATACTAGGGCTGAAACATCGGTTTGCTGCGGACACATTGCCAAGCCTGCACACCTCACTCGAGGAAACGCTGCCGAGGAGATGCGGCCGGTTATCCGAACTCTGGCTTCAGCTCTGATCGCCATGAATGAATGTAAGATCCGATTACCATTTTTATCGCGATGAATGGAGGCAAGATCCGATTATAGCGAATCGCCGTGATCTCGTTACGCCACTCAAAAACCGAGATGCAACCGCTGTCAAGTCCAGTCCAGCATACATGACTAACGCTTGACTTCTGATGATTTCAGGCAGATACGTGCGCTGCATGATCCGTCTCATTTGATCTTCCTTTCACCTCACGCCTCGCTAAACGGCTGTCCAGGAAGCCGCATGCTCTCACTCCGCTGGCGTGTGGAAAATAGTAAAGGAGTAGCGCTGCAACTCACTCTACAGACGCAACACAGAAATAACAGCCAATTACAAGCGTCGGCACGCAATGAAATCACGTCACTAGCAGGAATGAGGCACGGTGGAAAATCCTGTAGCCACTCAGGACCCAGACCGAAAACCATCAGTCAATTAGAGACCAACCCGAACACCGTCGACCAATCAGGAGGCACGCAACAGCACACACCTGGCGCCGGGGGCCGTGCTGCTCGGCGATTGGTCGGAGCGCCGCGAGTAAAGTTGACGAGAGCTGAAGATGTCTGCTTCATTCAGTTTGCGATCGACGCTGAGGGCGGTTGGTGCGCGGACGAAGCCGGAACATGAAACGCTCCGTGTTGGTGAGTAAGATGCTGTGTTTGCAATGATCGCTGTCGGTGTTTTTATGTTTTGTGTTCTTTTGGTGTGCTCGGCGGTCGGTACGTTCCTGCTATGAGGGTAGGTCACTGTTTTGAAAAGACAGTGGGTGGTTCAAGTCGGTGAAACTCTTCGTAAGTTTAAATGCGAAAATTTCAGGGACGAAGCTAGCAGGCGTTGTAGGGAAAAGGCAAATATGAAATGCAGCTTTACACGTTGATGTTTCGCTCCTTTCATTTCCCATCAGGTATATATTAATGACAATGTCCTTGAATGCTGACGGATACGTTGATTTGAAGCCCTGTGCACATATTTTATGACAACCTCTCCTTATTTAACGTAACATCTCGTTTATACATCACGTCATTTAGAAACAATAACACACCAACACATCTAGAATATTGTGGCACGCAAGTAGATGAGGAATTTTGATAAGACTCGCGGGAATGCACGAATGAATTTGAATGGAATTTTGCAAATATGTTTGTTATCTGACATCTGAATTTTGTCTGGCTCCGTGTGCCTTTGAACATGCATCATTAAACTGTGCATACAGCTTGCTCATTGTGCCAAACCACTTTCGTACATAACGTCACTGCAAGTAGACATCAGTAAAATATTACGTTCCATTAACTTCATTTCGCAACATGTCATTAATCCAACGACCAAGCCTGTTCTGTATTTGGCTTAGGTCTTGATTTAGAGTATCTTCCGGTAAAAGTTTGAGGGGATCTTGTTTCATCTATCCAGTCCAATTAGAATATTGCAGGGTGGTGCCCTAATAATTACACTTTGCCGATAGCTCAACCGTTTTTTTTAAGTTATAGACATTTTTAATTTATTATCAACGGTTGCAATAAGATATTTAAGGTACGCCTTAACCACATTTTAGAGCTCACTTCAGCATCTGTGCAAACATATTTGACAGCCCCAGGTCACGATAAAGCTTTGTTTCTTATCACACATCTAAACACATTTGATAACTTCAGCCTATATTGACCTATTATTACCTATACAACCGTTCAGATTTAATCTATTTTGATGTGTTTATCTTGTAGTGCCATTTCAGTGCCATTTTTCTTTGGCGTGCCCAGCTTTGAATATGGCCTGGCATTGTGCCGAGAGCTTGGTCACTGAATCATGATTGACATACCTTACGTATGGTCACAGCGTGTCATGCCAGCCGCCTGTGATCGGTGGATTCTTCGCGTGTCGCTTGTTGCACGCGCCGACCGTAGATCACCGTGCAGTGCTCATAGAAAAGTCGGTACTCAGAAACCAGGAATTCTAGAGACGCATTTGTGGCTTCCAAATACGCGCAGCGAATAAGACAGAGGCTGCATAAAATGTATACACGGTTGCACGGTATGCCAAAAAGATAGTTGCAGGAAACCTCAAGGGGGTCTGCATCGACCTCCCCCACATTTCTAATCAGGGAGAGGGTGAATTAGTTTGAGACCACGTGAGAGTACACACCTGTATAGAGGGTATGTGGCAAGGGCCATAGTCAGGCATCTGTCTGTGTGGCTGGGGCCCGCTGCAGTGCCCAGGCTGTCTCAGATGCCTGTTGAATATATCTTCATTTTTACAGGTGTCGCTGTTGAATGTATCTCCATTTCTAAATCAAAGTACGTGTAATAGACGAGTGCTTTTCTTAAATTTGAGAGCACCGCGAGGCTCCAAAATAATTAAAATGATTCAAAACAGCGAATTGTAATCCATTATCAGAAGTGTGCAAGCATCATGCAAAAACCATAGATGCTGGCGTTTTGAGCACAGTTTCTAGCTACGCACGATTAGCCTAGGTTTGGACATATGCAATGGTAAATCTGTCACCACGTGTTATGTCTGTGACAAGGGCCTTTGGCCACCCCGTATAGCTCAGGAGCTGGATTTTGAGATTGAAAAGTCAACACACTTTATCTTTTTGGTCATTTCATCTTTTTTATTTATTCAATATTACGTCATTAACAGGAGCGTAGCTTTACAAAATAAGTTGCGGGGAGCTCGACAGCAAGCAATGACACACTTCACCCTACAAAATATGCCAACAAACAGGTTTTTCATTAGATTTGGCCACTTTCTTCCCACAATCAAGGGGGCTGGAGCCAAAGCTGGGGGCGGCTGGCTCAAGCGTCACACACCCCTTTAGCTGAATAGGAAATTACACCCCTGGTTTGAACATATATATATATATATATATATATATATATATATATATATATATATATATATATATATGTACATACATGTAACTCTCTCTCTCCCTCTTACTGGGCCCTGCTGCACACAACCTACATTGTAATATTCAAAAGATGTACACCCCAGCAACATTGAACGGAATCAATAACTGTATTGTTTGCGGCAGGCTGAGCCACACGTGAACCGTTCTCCTTCAGTCACCGCCGAGGTTCGATGGGCTCGGATGAGTCCACATCCTTTTATTGTCGCAGTTAAAGCTAGAACAGTCTCATCTGATCTCATTCGTTTTTTTATGTGCTAAGAAAACAAACCCAGACGCACCTGCAAGAAAAGGCGCTCACCGACATAGTTATGCCCAAACGTCCCCCAAACTCGTTGAGCGGCACTTTTCGGGACGCTTCGCGAGGCTACATGTTAGCGTTGTGTTGGAGTTATACGTGAAGACGTAGTTTGAATAGAAACTGGAATAGATGCGCACAGTTCAAGATGGTTCGATGTTCTGATGATCATCACCATTTGATCTTGCTGTGTTTGCATGCAAATGGGCTTCACAAACAATCGAGAAGAAAGGCGCACACCAAACAAAAAATACAGTATCAGAAAGTAAAAACGTCATGCATTTTGCTGGTTACGGTAGGAAGTCACCAACTGTATCCAATGTTGGCTGGCGGGGACGATGTAATGACGACCAATGATAATACGGGCTGCGACATTATCGCGCACGTTGGAAGGGCTAGGATCCGTTAACGAATTTTATTCAGTCCCACATGTAAAGAATTGCTCTACTTCACCGTGACTCACATGGATTTGTTGTCACGTGTTCGACTGTTTACCGTTTACGCCGCAGTATTTTCGCAAATTTTGTCTTTGAAAGAAGTGCTCCACCTTTAGCGCATATTTGAAAAACATACTCTGGTAAAAACTCAGGACCGGTAGCGTCGAATAATAGCACCGAGCACTGCCACTGAAGCACCGTCAAAATGCAATAAGGCAATAACCTTTTAATATCTTTTGTTCTAAATTGGCCAGTCGACGCTGCTTAACAGCACCACACATTTTTCCGTTTTTGACACCACAGAGTGTATCCCGAGTCCGTGGCAACTGCCGTTGTCGCGCCCGCCGTCGTCATGACAATAGCCGTCGTCATGACGACGGCAGAATCTGCTAAGGGGAGTTGTCAGTGGTTATGAGTTCGAGGTGACACTTGAGTCGCTTTAGCCAGCACAATGAGGTCCTGTGGTCTTAAAAAAGGCACCTCTATTGGTGCGAATGACAGTGGTACAAATGAACGTTTGTGATTGGCGCAGCGGCGGCAACAGCCAGTTTCCGAGAAAAGCAATGGCTGAAGTTTGAATCAGTACATCACAATAGACCATGTGATACTCTCATTCCCAAAGCCAAAGCGCGCCTAGAAAAGAACCACTGTGGTAAACGTCATGTGGGAGAAACGAAAGTCATGGTAGAAAGTTTCGTTGAACTCGCGTAATAATAGTCTCATGTTGGCATAGCCCTTTCTCTATGCGGAGCTTCTCAAGCTTTCGTGGCAATTATTACGCAAATGTTCTAACAAATTATGGTGTCGCAAACATTATGGAACACACGCGTCGAAAAGGCAAGGCAAATTAAATGTCTTACTTTCATGGTGGTGAGCAGCGGGTCCAATAAGATTTGTCCCGCAGGAGCGGCCACTTCAAATCGAAATTCCGAGCTAGTCGTAAGGATTTCAAGAAAACTGATGTTACTTTTCATATTGGCCGTGTCTGATTTCAAAAAAGCGAAGAGTTTAAGAGTGATGCTCCCTTTAATATGAGCCCCATGGGAGGCGGGTAAATACGCGCGTATCAAGAAATGCGAGTTGTATTTGTCATGTCGTTTCACATAAACTATCTGTTGTTCTACGTTTGTTGAGGCTGCAAGGTACCTTTGGGGGCATGTGTGTGGTTGGGCCAGAAAACGAGTGAGTTTTCTATTTCCTTAGTTAACACAGATGGACAGCATCTGCCCACCAGCTATGTCAAAATAGCGTAGATGAAAACGCGGGAGAGCTGCGATAGAGCTGCTAGCGCTTTGTCAAACTAAGTCAACATTCGCGTTTCAGCGTAATGAACACCCCGCATCGTACTGAATTGGATCTCGGCGATGTGTAGTGGACACATGCATAGTGGCCATATCGCAGTGACTTGTGCGGTTCTTACAGTGACTCGCACTTGGTACCGTAACATGTGCACAAAGTACAGTGACGCATGCTTCCTGGGTAGGGATTTACTGACAGTGATCTGCTTTTGCCGCATCGTTTGCATGTGCTTGGAAGCCATCGCTGTACGCATTATTTCATTGGCAATGGTGAAATAGACAGGTTGATCCATTAGTGCTGTTGACTGAAAAGACATCGAAGTTTGGATGGAGTCATTACACAAAACACAAATGTGTTTTAACAATTTTGTATACCAGCAGGATTGAGGTGTGATAGGATATTCTCAGACTGTTACGGCCCAAAATGACACATCAGACCAGTGCGTTTGCCTATGAGCGTGTCTCAGGAAAAGCTTCCAATATACATGGTGGCTGTCATCTCACAGTGAGCCCACTAACCGAATACTCCCCTTTTTGTTCCTTACACACATGTGGCGCTGCAGAATACAATATGTGTTTTGAACCGACTTTGGCTAATAATATTTGCCAATCTGTAAAAATAAAACAAATTCAGTGATGCCTGATATTCGTTGTCAGATACCGTACCGGTACCATCTGGTGACAGAAATAAATCGGAGGATCCTCATTC